GACATTATTAATCTTGTCTTATCATCCTTCAAAATATCTCAAAAATCCAATTCGATATGATTATCTGAATTTCCTCTCGATTTTATCGCTTTATAGCTTTTAAATACAAAGTAAGTACAAAAAATCTAAATCCCATAGAAACGTCTTTTTTTTTGGGTGAACTATTCATTTACGAGACCAAATTACAAAAAATTTTAAATTACACTTTGGTTCATAAACTTTTCCCAAGCTTATACTTTAGCTACAAAACTTTCAAAATTTACATTTTGGTCACTATATGAAATTTTGGGTATTACACGACTATTCATTATGTTCCAAACTCATCATTTTCCATTAAAAAAATAACGGGCATCCAAGTTGGACGTTAACATACTAACTGAGATATGATAGTCATTTGAAATTATGAGATCAGATTTTATAATATCTCAATCAGCATGCTAACGTTCGGCTCACACTTTCGTTAATTTTTTAACAGAAAAGAACGAGTTTGAAACATAATAAAAATACGGGTGACCATTTTGTAACTTTTAATAATCAAGGGACTCAACAAAGCATCTCCCAATAGTCGGGGGACCATTTTATAACTTTTAATAGTTAAGGAACTCAAAAAGTAGTATCCTATAGTCGGGGGGCATTTGTGTACTTTACCCTTAACTTTTTAATAAATAATAATTTAATATATCTCACGTGGAACATCAAGTATCCCTCTTTTATCGATATATATCCTTAATTCATATATTAAAAGAATAAATAAGACAATTAATACATTCTTAATTATGTAACACAATTTAAATCTTATTAAATTTTTAATTAAATTGGTGGCATCCATATCTAATTTATTTTTTTTAGAATAAATTATTATCTATATATATTTACTATTATTAAAGTTGTGTCACCTAACGAGTATTAGCTGAGTTTGAATGCAATTATATATAATTATACAAAACCCTTACATATCTATGTATAGGATAATGCTTATCTTTTTCATACTTTTTTATGATATGCCAGGGTTTAAAAAATAATCATGTAATTAAATATAGTTACTCGGTGGTAAAATATTTGGACAACCATCATCATTTCTAGATCATGTTAAATTATGTGTAATTAGAGATCTTCAATTCTATTATTCAATTTTCAAGAGTTAGTGTAATTATAACTTGCACTATTAAACATAACATTACACTATTACAACTAAATATGTTTAGAGGATTGAATCTATCGAATGATTTTAGTGATTAAATATAATGTTGTTCTCCTCAAATGACCCTAGTTCGAATAATTACGTCTGCAGAGTGTCTATTCATTATTAATAGGCTAAGAAAATTTTTGAACAAACACTATCTTATGATCATCTCATACTATTAAAAATATATATGTTTAAAGAATAAAATTTCACAATAAACAATCATTTTATAATTTTTGGAAGTTCAATGATCAAAACAATCATTTGAACAAATTCATAAACGATGTTCTTCAAACTATGGATTCAAAACAAATACCACAGGAAACAAATGAAGGTAAAGGTATAATCCAAATTAATAACAAAGCAGTATTTTTTTAAACACGTAAACAGTAAAAGATTGAACTAATCACATAGGAGTTTTGGGGCTAAAAAACTTAGCTATAACTCTTGAATCCAATATCTCTAAGGCCTCCTTAGATTTGATGCAAACGGGCGTTTTATATTGGCTCAAAGAAGCTCCTCTGGATATGAAGTAATCCATTAGTGCCTCAAAAGTTCCTTGCTTTACGACCCTAATCTCCAAAGCTGAAATTATATTTTCTCTCCTATACATTCTATATGTAAAATGTAACGAATCTTCGATTCGAGAGCAACATTCTTCCATTACCTTCGGGTCAAGCTCGTTGCCATTGTTGCCTTCTTTTGCTTTGAGCTCCCAGAATATGACATAGTGGCCTGGTGTTGAAGAAGTGTCACCGTAGCTACTGTACCCTGTCAAGATGAATCCGAGCGGATCGAGAAGTGTTTTTGCTTCCGTCAAGGCCTTTAAGAGGTCCGCTTCGCTTGTTCTTTCAACGTCAACACCTAGAGCAACGTTTTCCCTCCCCACAAATCGGAATTGAGGTGCATTGTTGTGGAAACCAGTCACCATAAGAATGTCTCCGACTCTATATCGGTACAATCCTGAAAAGATTAGATCATCATCTGATGCATCAATTTTGGCATTTGATTGAATTTGGCTCACGATTTAGAAGTTGAGGAAATTTTACCCATAGAACTTGTGACAAGTAGTTCATAACATTGACCAGGCTTCACATTTACAAGCTCAACAGGTTCGGTATCTTCATTGCTGCTCTTCGTTTCTACAGATTCAACCAGATTTGGAGAATTCACAACACATTCTTCCTTTATCGGAACAAATTCAAGTAAACCGAATTGGGGAGAAATGTGTAAGAGACTTCCGAAGGTTTAATTCGAGGTTCTAAGTTGATCCCAACAGCACCTTCGAACAGCCATAAAAACCTGACACTAACGGGAGCCCTCCACAATAGAACTCAAGTTCTGCAGTGTATTGTATCATTGCGCCTGTACATATGGTACCGATGTACTTTGTTTTAGGCCATAGCTTTGTGATTATTCCCTCCCATGATTTACAACTACATATATTTTCTATCAAGTCAGCCAATTCTGGATTAGGCTTCAAGATCAACGATGCTGCGTATTTGCACCCAAATCGGTGATCCAATCACTTATTTGACCCGTTTTTATATTAGAGCACAGCTCTTGCCAGTTATTTTCTAAAAACTTGAAAGCTCTTAGCACCCCAGACGCAAAGACTGTGCCAATCATGACAACCTCATCACGTTGTATCAAACCGAAAAGTAATTGACAGTACATGCTCTGTTTGGCATCCGGGCAAACGATAGTCTCGATAGGGCTCGTGTAAAGCTTCGGCAAAATGGCTCTAAACCCACTCCTCTTGAATGTTCTTGTCGTGACTGCAGTTGCCTTGAGGCCAGAAGGAGTTTCAACCTCTGGTTTGACAAACATAAGCTCCATTCTTTTACCAGCTTGGTTTATGTCACCAAAGTGCCTGTAGATAAATTAGTCAGGACTCTATATGGTCACCAACATAACATATATAGGGCACCTACGTTACTCGTACTCAAGTGCGAGTTCGATCGTCATTTTTAAAATTTTATCATGTATTTCAAGAGCCTTTTAAGAATTATATCTCTATATATCTGTATCCAAATACGGGAAATGAATACTTTAAGAAAACTTAACAATTAGAGCAACATAATTTTATCATGATTAAAACCAATGATTATCAGTATGCATACTGACAACCAATATCTTAGGCCTAAACCAAAGTTAACAAGACCCACCATTGCTTAGAACCCCAAACTTACAAATAATTATATAACCAAATGTAGAAACTAAACAATCTGCTGCTTTTATCATTTTCCTTCAGAAACATGGGACAAAATCACCAATATTTCAAGTCAACAACATAACATATATAGTGCACCTATGTTACTCTTACTCGAGTGCCATTTCGATAATAATTTTTAAAATTTTATCACGTATTTCAAAAATCTTTCAAGAGTTATATCTTTATATTCGTGTCCAAATACGAGACATGAATACTTCATGAAAAACGAATAATTAAAACAATATAATTACTCTTAAAGAGTGATATTTCCATGGACAGATTGAGGAGGCTGGTGGAGCCTATCATCCTCTTTTAAAATTTTAAATTCTCTTATAATTTAGAAAATTTTCTTATGTTCTTTATTGATAATTTATTCTCGCCCTTTCAATTTTATAAATTCGCTTCTAATACAAAATCATATTCCACCATGATAATCCTATACTAACACCCAAAACTATAGATTGATGATTCTCTTCTTCAGGCATTAATCAATCAGTAAACAATCTATCAGTTTATAAATCAAATTACAAACTTCGATAAAACCGGGATGGGATTGCTTACTTTATCATCACAGACCGGTACATGTTATTAAACGTTGTGAGTATGTTAGTAGTTTCATCGATGGCAGGTATCAGCTTTGGCTGCCCACCTGAAGTCCCACTACTGCATTTAATCAAACACTAATAATTAATAAAGTCATAATGAAAAAAAGAAAAACAGAATGGAAAACACATAAAAAGAAAAGAAACACTTGCCTCAGAGAGAACCCAGTGACGGGTTCAGCTAAAAGAATATCTGAAGATGCCTCCCCATTGGCTATTCGATCAATATAAGGTTTGAGATCTTCATAAGCAACAATGGGTACATTCTTTTTGAAGAGTTGCTTGTCGGTTTGGCCATGGAGGAACCGGCTTAAATACTCCGTTCCCGCGTTTTTGCTAAGGATTTCCCCCAACAACTGGTCTTGGATTTGCCGGGCATTTGTGGTGAGTTCCTCCAGCATCTTCAACCCGAATTCATAATCATTTGTTGCCATCAATCAGATCTAGAACTGATTTCTGCTTCGAGAAGAACTTGGAAGCTCTTGCTGATGATCTTTATCTGTCTACCGATCGCTATTGAAGATCACCGTTAACGAGATTTTCTTCTAATTTAGCACCAAAAAAGAATTATTTCCCAAAAATGTTAGACGCGTATTCGTCTACGTTAGTTAAATAATAGTTCCTTGTTGAGCTGCTTAGGGAATGTGCATATTGTCGCGGGCCATGATAGGCTTGGATAATGCTTATTCAGGGTCCGTTTGGTTTGATTGGAGGAAAATATGTTACAGATTTTTTTTTTATTTTTATGTGTTTGGTTCAAATAAAACAAGAAAGCCAAGGGAAAATATTTTACTGTCAACGTAAAATTCAGTCATTCTCACCGAAAAATAATTTACCGTTTAAAAAAGGAGAAGTGATTTTCCCACACGCTCCTTCATTTTTCCTTCTCTCTCTTCACACCCAAAATCATTCGCGATTCAGTGGCTTGCTTCTCACCGACGATTATTGACTCAGGCGGACGATTATTGACTCAGGCGGACGATTATTGACTCAGGTAAGATTTGCTTGTCACCGGAAACAAAGATAAAAAGAAGCGGGTAACTTTCGATTTCAAGGATCTGTTTGTTTTTCTTGGTGAGCCATACACTATCACCTTCACGCTGGTAAACTATTAATAATGGAGGCGAAAGCCAATGGTCCGAGTTTCAAAGGGGGTCGGGTAACAGATGTCCCTACGAACCCGATGGTTACTCCTCTTCTAACCCATTTTTATCAGTTCACCATGGCGTACGCTTATTGAAAGGCCGGCAGACACAACGATCGATCCGTGTAACCTTCGATTTCTTCTTCTTAAACCTTTAATCTCGTTCCCTTTAGAATGATTTTCCTTTCTCTCTCTCTCTCTGTCTCGCTTTCCTATCTAATCTTTTGTTTGACTACTACGAAAATCGGATTGAGAATAGGATTCTGATGCTTCATAGTTACTGTTTTCAGTAGAGTTATTTTTCCTTTGAACTTCATTATTTGAAGTTGTAGTTGTTTGTACTCGGTTTATTACTATATGAAGTTATTGGGAAATCAGGGCTTCCAATGTTCCAAAGTTAGTTATCTTTCTAATAATCGTTTGGTTACTTGTTGGTTTCAGAAATGAAATTTGAGAAAGTGCAAATGTTTCCTTTTTTGAAAGTTGGATGTCTTGAGCTTCGGCTTAGAGTTTTATAACATCCTTTCAGGTTCGATCTATACTTTCGGAAGAATCCATTTGGTGGTGAATTTACTGTGTTTGCTGGTTTGGAAGAATGCATAAAGCTCATTGCTAATTTCAAGTTAACCGAGGAAGAGATTTCCTTCATCTGTGAAAGCTTGCCTAGTTCATGTGAGGTAAGCTAACTCCTTTTCAGATGGTTCAATTAATAATATTCTGGTGTCTGTTTATTTTTCTGCGCTTGTAATTGGATGTTTAACTTATCCATTGTTTATCCACTTGACAGGAAGATTTTGTCAATTATCTTTTAAACATTGACTGTTCTGATGTTGAAGTTTATGCTATTTCAGAGGGAACAATTGTTTTCCCAAAGGTGCCCTTGCTTAGAGTTGAAGGGTCGGTTGCTGTGAGTGCTATTAGACTTGTTTTTTTTTTCTTTGCATTTGGTATTTTGTTTTTATATTCATTTTTCTTGATTCATGCACTTAATTTTTAGGTGGTTCAATTGCTGGAGACCCCAGTTCTGAATCTTTTAAATTTTGCATCTTTAGTGGCTACAAATGCGGCTAGACACAGGCTTGTTGCTCGAAAATTTAAAATGTTGCTTGAGTTTGGGCTTCGAAGGGCTCGGGTTAATGATTTTTTCTTGTTTATTTTCTTATTATAAATGTTAATATTTGAGTTTCTCTCTGTCAAACATTTACATTCATGTTAATTGCAGGGACCTGATGGCGCTATTTCGGCATCAAAGTACTGCTATATTGGAGGTTTTGATGCTACAAGGTGGATTGCTAACATTTTTGTATCCTGTTGCACACTGCTTTCATGGCTTCATATATCATGTCTTTCAGTTGATTAAAATGAAGTAGAGTTAGTTTGTCCTCTGCTTGATCTTGAAGCTATTCAGAGTTTATGATTCTTCTCTATTCTTCACTAATGTAGATTCTTGATCTAAGTTAATGTTTTGTACTGCTTGTTTCTTTTTTTATGCTGTGTGTTAACTAGCAATGTTGCGGCTGGAAGGTTATTTGGGATACCTCTTCGTGGTAGTTAATGTAGAGTCATACTCATAAATGTGAAGTAATGACAAGGTAAATATGAATGAGGTGATTTCATGGTAGTTAATTTCACTGGAAAATATAGTTTCTACCCGTATATAGCTTTTACTTTGGATATTTTAGTTATTAGTTTCATGATACATGCTTGATTTTAACTTTGCTATTGGTTTTCTTTGTTTATATCTAAAATGGTTTTCATTGACACTTCACTTTTGGCGACTTCTTCTCTCTTAGTAAATGGGTCCGTAGTCCGTATAATGCATTGTTTAGAAACAAGCTTAGATTTCACTCCGACTTTCAAATTTGCTTATTGTTTTATATCAATGTTCTATATGTCGTTCTATTGACCATTTTCTTATGCTATTTTCGTACTTTGAATATTATTGGTGTGTTCCTGGAGTTTTTATGCTTCTTTGATTATGCAGTTATTCAATGTTTAATTTGCAGAGCCTTGATGAGATCCAAGACAGATCACTGCATAGCTCAGATGGTTCAAGTACACCAATGGCCAACTGTTGGAAGATCTCCCCTTTACCATCAATCCTTTGTTCTGGTTTTGGCTGGAGAGTACTGACCATCAAAAGGATTCAAGGAAGGGATTAGGTTTACAAATGTTCTGTGACTTCTGTCCTAAACTATCCTAAACCTGTGATAAACCTTTAATTATACATTTTGACACTATTATAATTATTACAATGTGATGTATTATTGTTGTTTTAATGTGATGTACTATTAAGATTATATCGATTAAACATACATAATATTTATAAACTTTTATAATATATTTTTAATAAATTATTAATATTATAGCAAATAAACCTACATAATATTAATTATACGTTGAAATTCATTTCTAAAAATACTAATGAATAAGCATCATAAAGATTTTAAACATAAAATAGTGTATTTATAACACAATCAACATAAATTATTAATATTAGAAAATAATATTTTAACGATAATATTTTTGTTAAAAATACTTCCCATTTTCTTTGATAAGAATATTAATATTATAGATAAAGTATATGAATGATGATCAAATTATATTAAAATAATTTTTTAATCACTATACTTTATAAAAATTATCATTAAATTTTATTAAAATAATAATCAATAAGTTTATTAAATTATTTAAAATAATTCTTAAATATATCAAAGTTTATTATTATTTTATAATATCATTTATATTTTTAAAATTTTATATTAAAAATTATTCTAACATAAATTAATAATCATTTGCGTGTTTTATCATAAAATTATAAGTCGGTCAAATATGTAGAGCCGCCCACATTTGGACATATTACTGCTTTTTTAAAATATAATTTTATTATGATACGGTTTCTATAGTGTATTTCTATTTGTATTAGCATATATCGAATGTATGTATTATACATATTTCTTATATAAAATTTGTATAAATTTTAATTTTAATCTTTATAATTTTTTTCAATTTGATTCTTATAATAATCAAAATTATGGATATTTGTCGTTCAAATAGTGATGACAGTCATGAAAAAATCTATTTTTTATTTAATAAAATATTATTTATTAAGATATAATATTAATTATTATTTATAAATTTATTGAACGATTTCAACAGTAAATAAAATATTATCTCTTTTAAAGATTTTAAATTTGAACAATTATGTTTATAACTTATAAGATGTATGTGATATCAATAACTAAAAATATTTTCAATAAATATTACCTTATAAATACTCTAATATATTTAAAAAGTATTATTCATTATTATTTCACTAAACATATTAAATAATGAACTTAATATACTAAAAATTATGGAGAATAATTGAAAAATACCAAGCTCGGCTCATCAAAAACCGACTCCAACAGTAGTCGGCTCAACATTCATCTTCTTCTATTAGCAAGCATTTGGAGCAAGCTTAGCTGATGATCTTATCGGCTCAGACATGCAGCGCGTCAACACAAACGGCTTCTGATCAACCACAGTTGCCGTAGACCCAATGCCGCCGGTTGCATCAGCCGCAGTAATCGCCTCCGTAACCAACGGTGGATCAGCCACCAAAGAGCAAGAAGTCGCCGCCGCCGGAGGCTCATCTACACCGACCTTTTGCTTGACCAATGGCTGCTTGATGAAATCCCCGCTACACACCCATGTCTCCTTGGATACCTCCATTGACAGCTTCGGCTCACACATCATCAACAACAAACAATCAGGCAATGAATTCTGCTGACTTCCACTCTCCTTTGACTCATCTCCCGGGTCGGGTTCCATGGCTTCCGGGCATTCAATTTGGGATCTTTCTTGGGTCGAAGTAGAGCTTGAACCCTCTTCTTCTTCTTGTGGTTTCTCAAGATCATCAGATGAAACTTGGGTTAAAGTTTCTTCCTTTATTGCTGTAATTTCTTGTTGGCCTTGTTCTTCCTGAGTTTCCCAACAAATCTTGTCGGCAAAAACAGCCATATTTACAGGATCAGATCTGCATCTCATCAACAACAAAGCATCCCTCGGTGGAGAAGATGATGAAACACAAACCCTAGGTTGATCTTCACCAGATCTTCCTCCTGCTTTGTCTTCTTTGTTGTTGGCCATACAAGAAGAAGACCTGGTACAAGGCAAAAGGCAATAGAAATATTCAGCACCAAATGCCCTCAGTGCTTCACAGATAGTCATCGGCAAATGCACCCATCTCCTGCAATCTTGGCTTGTACTGTTACCTCCATTGTTAGATCTGCTGCAAGGTCTCAACTTTCTCCCTTGTTTCTTGCTCTTGTTGACCCTAACTTGACCTATACAAGTAACCTTAGGGGAAGAGGGCTCAGGGTTTTCAAAACCAGGGCCTTTCTTCTTGCCATTGGAGAACATTGGAGAAGCTTTTTGTTCACCACTTTTCAAGCTACTATTGTTTCTCACCATTATTCTCCTACTGAAATAATGGCCTGAAGTGAAACAAATGAAGAGGTCGCTTATACTGCTGCCATGGGTTCTCTCTGGATCCATTTACTTCTTTTGGGGTGTATTTATGACATCATCATTGGATTACAACGAAGAAGAAATCTCCATAAAAGGAAAGAAAAATCCAATATTGGATTTCTTTTTTCTTTGTTGATAGTCAATGGGATGATGCAAGGGGAAAAAAGAGGTTTGTTTGATTGATGGTAAAGTGGCGTGGGGCTGCAAAGATTTACATTGTACGAGGAGGATTAATGGAAGAGAGAGAGAAGAAATCATGTGAAGGAGAAGGAAAGATCTGAAAACGAGAAGCTGTAATAATGGCGAAAAGTTGAAGAAATATAAGTTTTGTCTTTAGGCAAAATCTTTTCCTTTGTTACTTCAGATTCCATGGGTTTTGCTGTGTTTTTTCCTTTTAAGACGTCCCCATGTGGTGGGCTCAGACTGACTGTCAATTCTTACATGGTAAATTCAGATTTCATACAATAATTTGTTTAAAAAATTATATCTATTTTCTATTTTAATTTTAACTCTGATTATCTTGTGTTTTCATAAATTCCATTACTGTCTTCCCATCATATTTCTTTCATCATCTGACATTTCTCTCAGACTCCCCGTTATAATTTTATTCACTACTACCATCACAACATCTCTACCAATCTAATGTCATTATCGCTTGCTCTAATGCAAAACACAAACCCTTCGGACACCACCTTTTTCCCCATTAATTTTCTATTTTTCTCATCCACCACTCTCACATACGCTCCAAGTTCGTAAGCCCCAGCTTCCACACGTTCATTGAAAATCTAGTTTCACAAGGTGTGCGATTGAAACCGATGATGGTCAGACCTGAACGATGTTATAAGGGGTCGACGAAGTATATGTGACCAACATGGTAAGGCGACAAAGTCGACTGAACAAACGAGCAACGACGACGATTGGGATTTAGGAGAGGGATTTTGATGTTTTTTTTAATAAATGTTGTTTTATTCATCCAAAAGAACTTCACTATACATATCATTTACAAACAATAAAAAGTAAAAACGCAGCACCTATAAACCATGAGCCAACGAAAAAGAAAAAACCTATACCAAGTCCCACTCTGCAGCAAGCACAGAGGAAGGAATAGCAACCTTAGTACAACCCCTCAACCTCAACCTAACAGTATGTTTTATCTGCAGAACAATACACTCAACCTACCGAGGACTAGTTCCATGTAATCTATTATTTCTCTCCTGCCAAATATGGTAAAGATAACAACACCAAGCTAATCGAATGACAGCCGCCTTCAAGGTCTTACCCCTACCATGAGCTTGAACCCAATGCACCATATCTACCCAGCAATACACAGACCAATAACATGACATGCTCGTAAAACAACAATCCAAACCTATCTAGAGAAACTACATTCAACAAAAAGATGATCACTATTCTCAACACCATAATCACAAAGAACACAAGTAGGATCAATGTGACTCCCCTAATGGAGCATACGAACCTTCGTTGGCAGTCAAGCAAGAAGAGCAAGCCAAGATATGAACGAGTGTCGAGGGATAGAAAACCCCCTAGATGACTTTTAACCAAAGAACCTTGTATTGCTTGCACCGAAGAGCTTCCCAAACCTTCTTCGCTTGGTAGCCCCATCCAGGGCCCCCACAAGAGCATAGTCATCCCTTAAACTTAGAATCTTCTTCCAAGCCCAGCTATAGCTATTCTTTAACGAATCTTGCGGTCTTGCCACAGAGAGAATCCTTGCAAAATATACTCTTTAACACAGACCACCCAAACAGAACCAGACTGTGCAAGGAGAAGCCACAAACATTTCATCATACAAGCTCTATTCCATCCAATAATATTTTTAATCCCAAGGCTCCCTTCACATTTTGGAAAACAGATACGTTCTCAGTTAACAGAAGCACCCTTAGCTGAACCATCCAAGTCTTTCCAAAGAAAAGCATTACACAATTGTTCAATCTGCTTTAGCACTTTAGAAGGTAACAAGAATACTCTACACCAAAAGTTTTGAATGCTAAACACTACAGCTTGAATAAGTTGCAGCCTCCCCGCAAACGACAGTCACTTAGAGGGCCAGCTACGAATCTTTCTAACAATTTTTTCAATTAAGCCCAGGCTCCTAAAGAGGGACCCCATATAACGAACTGGAAGGGTACCAATATGATAGAATGAGTAAGTTATACCATGCCACATGACTACTTTTATTAATTCAACGGTTAAGCTTAATGATATACGTCCAAAATAAAACCAAAACATAATGTTAGGTATGATTTTGAAAAAAATAATAGTTGAATGATCAAAACAGAAACACAATAATATGTGGATGATTAAACAGGTAGTTTATCTTATAATACATATACTAAAATAATTAAGATGATTAAAAGAGAGGGAAAAAATTAAGATTCAAAAAAATATTTTTTTAAAATCGAGATAGAAAATATCAAAAAAATGGTAACAAGTGGGAAAAATCAATTCATGGTGAGTACATATTCGAAAAAATGATTCAATAACTAAAAAATCTAAAAGAAATTGAGTTGTTTTGATGCTCAATCATACAAGGGGAACTTATAGCTTCAAATTGAGATCAACATGTCCTCCTACTTCTCCACCTTTACAATTGGTCATAGATATTGTAGTTGCTCTGTCAATTTGCACCGTTGCTGGTGGTAAGAAGCTGTAATAAGGTCGATATGACTGGTTTACTCTGCCAACTCCTCGCCAGACAACCGGATCTTCGAAGCTTGCCTTTATCACATTCACAAGATTACGTATGAGCAAATAAAGAAGAAACAAATGATCAAATACGATAGGGGTAAAACAGAGATGGTGTCATTTGTTGTTTATGCTCACCTGATAAGCTAATGATTCGAGGTCGGGCAATTCACACTTGTAATAGGGTAAAACAGCCGAAGGGTGCTTGAATTTCGAGCTCGAACACATCGGTTTAGTTGTTGGAGGGGCTAATGTGAGAAAATCTCCATCAAAGACCCCTTTTTGTTTGATGCTTTTCTTGGATTTTGATTCCATGTTTGAGGGTGAACATGAAGGTCCTTCCCTAAAGAATGATGCAAAATAGAACATAAAAATGGGGAGAAAACTTAGAGAAAGGGAAGTTGGGATTTGAATCTTAAACCTTGATCGAACCTGAAACTCAGGGTGCCAGGTTCGAAATTGAACGTGCTACCGTTGCTACTCGAAATTGCTTCAACTTGTCCATTAATGGAATGAACAATGGGAGGATATTTTCTGCAGATAGGGGGACCTGGAGCATTGTCTAGAGAAAAGGGATATGATCTCTTCATGCCAACCACCTACAAGTTGTAGCCAAATTTACATAACATCAAATGTCTAAAAGAGAAAGAACGATGCATTCCTGAACTCAAAACTTAGCTCAATCCGCTCATGCAGATACTTTTTAAATGTGGTAGTTGGCAAATTCAAAGTTAGAATCTTAACATAAGTCCTCTACCGGAAAAGTTTAACGAGGTAGTCGAAGAATAGGAAAATAGATTCCAGATTCTAAATACAAATCCTGGGTTGATTCGATACTACATTTCGAGGATGGGTTTATCATAGGATTAGTTCATGCCAACCACCAAATTCACACACTAAAGAGAATGAATAAGCATTCCTAAGTGAACTCGAAACTCAAATGGTTCATGCAGTCATCTTCAAAAACTGGCATCTAATAAATTCGAAGTTCGAATCTAAGCATAAATCCTTCCCCTATTAGATAAGTTTAACCGAGTAATTAAGAATAAGAGATGCTAAATGCGAATCTCAGGCTTATTTGATTCCACATTCGGATTCATTTGGCATAAAATTCAGAGTATAAACATCAAGAATTTCACAACTAACAGCATAGTAGTAAAGGGAAAGAATTGAAGGGAAATTGTGCACAGATATATACCTTATCATCTTCAGGCAATAAAGGTGTACAATTTCCATAATAGCTTTGGTTTGAAGGGGACTCCATTTGAAAATTCAGTACCGATGTTGATGAAGTTCTTGATGACAAATTCACCTGCATTAATTAAATTCAAACCCCAATCCTTTATCTATCAACAATGGCAGAATCAAACAAATTATAACAACACAAAACCAACATTCTCACCATTGAAGTTGTTTGCTGAAATGTCTGTTTGCCGCCCTTTGCATGAAACCAGGCAAAGGCCAAATCGGTTCGGATTCATAAGGCAAACTCAAATTTGTCCTGAAAGCCAAACCAGGATCCAATCCAGAACACTCCTTTTCAATGTTATTATACTCAAAATCACAAGAACCCCACAATTTATTTTGACCATTATGAACAACACTGCCATTGCAGGTCAATGGAACAGTGTTTACAGCAGAAAAAGGCGGTCTAAACATCGAACTCGGGACAGGGAATGGTAAACACGATGCCGTTGCTGTTACCGGTGCTGATGATTTACGAGTAATACTCGGTGGTGACATAACAACAGGGGATTGTGAAGAAGGCAAGATTGAAGCATCTTTCTTTTGTTGTTCTTCAATCCTAATCTTCTCAAGTTGAGCCACACCAAGCCCTCTTTGAGGGACCTTCTTAGGCCTTTGTTTCTTTGAAAATCTACCAATAATATTGTTTCCAATTCCACCACTGTTACTATTACTATTACTAATCTGCTCTTCTTGAGCCATTGTTTTTACTAGCTTCCATATATGGTACAAACACAAATTTTCCCGAGAAAATTATGGATTCAAATGAAAGCCCAAGAATGTATGAAGCATTTAAAGAAACACCCAAAGCTCAAAAAAAGATTTTTGAAAATCAAAACAATATATATTACTAAGGATAATAAAAGAGGGAAAATCTAGAGAAAATATACAAAAAAGAAACCCAAAATCTCGTAGCTAATGGAAGTCAAGAGAACAAACAAACCCTTAAGCTTAGCCAAGTTTTAAGGTGAGATAGTGAGAAAGAAAAGTGGAAAAAAAAGAGGAGATCACTATATCCGAGAGGTTTCAGATTTTCTCTCTAAAAAGCCTTGTTTGTCTGAGATGAAAAGTACAAAAATTATATGCGAAAAAGCTGTGAATTTGATTATTGTTTTCGTGAAATTCAAAACCATGCAGATCTTTAGCTTACTATAAATATATATTTTCTCTCTGGTTTCTCGCCCAAATCCTCGGTCCAACTCTTCCTCTTTTCATTCCCGGGTCTCCTAGACCCTCTCTTTCAGCTTTCTTTCTTTTTTTTTTCTCGGGAAAATTACCTTCTCAACACTTTTAAATTCAAATTTCAGTTTTTTTTAACTATGATTTCACTTATTCGAATCGGATTAATGTAAATATTTATTATCAGAATGATACTTTCAATTGATAATCGAACAAAATTTAATTATTTTATTAATTGTTGATTTTATTGAATCAAACACTTCCGATATGGTTCATAATTTAAACTGATCCTAAATATTAAAACGTTCTAACCGACTCATCGAAATATATATAGCTTAGACTATGAAAATATCTATCAGGAAAACTAGAAAGAAACAACCGTTAAATCTATGTTGTCCAGTAGGTAGACACGTGTTTATAATTTAGGATAAAGTCACAAATAGTCCCCAAATTATTAAAAGTTATAAAATGATCCCCTAGTATAGAGCATTGCTTTGTTGAGTCTCGGACTATTAAAAGTTATAAAATATTCACTCGACTATTTGTATATTCCAAATCAGTCTTTTATTGGCGGTCGTTTGAGTTGGAAATAAACATGTTGACTGAGATATTATAAAATCTAATCCTAGAACCGTTTGAGTTATATTTTTGTAGACCGACTTTCTGTTTACATTATGTCGACAAATCAATACTTGAAATATTATACCGTTGAGTCAATGCCTAAAACAACGATGGTGTCAGTAGATAATATTAAAAATATAATTATATCATATCTCAATCGACAAAGTTAACGTCAACTCAGACGGCTGTTAATTTTTTAACATAAAATGGAACATATGAATAGTTGAGTGATAATTTTATAACTTTTAATAGTCGGGGGACTCAATAAAAAATATCCTATAGTCATGGATCAAACTTTTAATAGCTAGGTATTCAATAAAACAGCATCCTATAGTCAATGGATTATTTTATAACTTATGATAGTTGGGGGCTCAACCAAACAATGTCCTATGGTCGAGAGATCGTTTGTATATTTTACCTTATGATTTAATCATCCACGGTTTTAATTATATTTCATATTATATCTAAATTGACACTTAAAGTCTAAATTGATAGATGGTTGACAAAAGAACCTAGATAAAACTGACGTTTTAAATATCTTATCAAACCATTTTAAAGTTATGAATAAATTTTAGAATTTAGATGATAGTTTAGGGATATCTAATATATAATAAACTTTAATTTTAAAAAAATCTTACTTTTAATATATATACATAATAGATTTAGGGTTTAAATATGAAATAATATAAGTTTTAGAAATTTGAATTTAAAATCATTAGGTTTAAAATTTATTTTCATTTAACACTTGTTAATAGTGATGGTCATGGGTTGGAACTAATATACTAGGTAGTATGATTGAAGGACTAATTTGAATAAAAAAAGATAATGTATTTAATTAGATTAAAAAAAACGTTTAGGTACCCAAATATAAATTTACCCAAAATTTTAAATTTGGTTCATTTACATAATCAACCCTTCCTTTTATTGATTGAAATCAACTTCAGACGAAACTAATATCTAAAGAACTAACCATCTATTCCCATTAATTTCAATTGCCTCTGGATTGGATTATTCTACTTTCTGGAACTCAATAACTATAATACACAATCATAATCTTCTTCTTCCTCTTAATCTGACTCGTAAATCGACTTTCAAAACGACGTGATGATGCCGTACTTTGTTTCCGCCATGAAAGCCGCTGTAAAAGCAGAAGGCATGGAGTTAAACATGTGGTCGTCGATGACATCGTTGTCGGTTTCCGTTCTTTTGACGAACCGGCCTTTGATTCTTGGCCTTGATTCGGCGTATATCTTCCGGGAAGCGAATCAGATTGTCTTCTCGAATCTTCGGTTCTTTCTCTTCTCTTTATACCGTAAAACTCGAGCCTCTCGGTCGAGTCCGCCTACTTGGGAAGCTTGGTTGTTGATTCCGGCAACGTTTGGATCAGTCATGGTTGGAATTGTTCCTACTTCAAGTGACGAAGATGAAACCTGAAAGTTTTATACAATTTCGTCAAATTATAAATTAGTCCCTCTGTTATTATTACTTTTGAGACTTAATCATCTACTTTAATTTGATAATCTAACAAATTATGTTGAAATATCTTTTTAATCATCAATTTTTTAAATTATAAAATAATCATTCTAAAATGATTCTAAAACCTACCTAATTGTAACAACATCACAAATTGATCTTTAAACTTTAAAATATTATATATCAATCTTTAAACTATAAAGATTATTTAATTTTGATCCTTTCGTTAATATGTCCTTATCTCTACTATTTAAAAAACAATTTGTTTTTAAAGGTCTTGGGAAATGAACCTCTTACCTTCTAAAATTTTTTTATTATGTTTTTAAAGGTCTTGGAATTAAAGTTGCGATCTTCTAAAAAAAATTAATATGTTTTTTAAATCACAAGTTCAATCCTCGTGAACTTTAAAAATAGATAATTTTTTAACCATTAGAGTTAATGACACGTTAAGGAAAGAATCAAAACGTAATAATCTTATCATCAAAACCAGCAGCAAACGTAACTGCATGTTGTTCGACATCAAAACATCGATCCGGGAATCGTTCTTGGAATAAATTAAGCCCTGTTCCTCCTCCCATGGCCGCGTGGATCCCCACTATTTTATCTTCTTCTTCCGCTTCGGCTATTAAAGACTCCGCAAAGTACTGAGTATACGAACGAGTCCCGGACTTGGGATCAAATTTCACAACCCCTACAGAACGAAGGATAATCTATGATGATCGATGACCTGAACATTTCATTTTTCTTTTGAAAATCCCGTGACGGACACAACAGACGACACTCATAGGCCTGCAAACGAATCGAACGCATACGAACGGAGGTATGTTCATGTTCGTTCATTTAATAAATAAACGAACATAAACGAACACGAACATAAACGAACAAAATTTTCTTTGTTCATATTCGTTCATTAAGGAATATAGCTTGTTCATGTTCGTTTATTTAATAAATAAACGAACATAAACGAACACGAACGAACGAACATAAACGAACACAAACGAACAACATAAACACAAAAAAAAAACTTATTCGAACATAACAAATGAATGTAAAAAAAAGTAAACAACAAGAATAACAATTTAAAATTCATTAATATAACCTGCAACTTTAGAGTTAACTTGTTCGAATACGACAAAAACATACATAAATCATAAATAAGTTATATGAACATAATAAAGTCTTAAAGTTAATTTGTTCAACAAAATAATCTTCTTAAAATCCAAACAACTTCAATAATCTTCGTAACATATTCAACTTGTCCTATGTTCGAACATAAATAAACGAACATAAATGAACGAACATAAATGAACATAAATGAACGAACATATAATCGAACGTTCACGAACGTAAATGAACGAACGAGCCATTTGTTCATGTTCGTTTATTTAATTAAATGAACGCAAAATCTTGTTCATGTTCGTTCATTTAATAAATAAACGCACATAAACGAACATCCCGCCGCACGGTTCATGAACGGTTCACTGAACGTTTTGTTTATTTACAGGACTAGACACTCATTTCGAGTCCTAGTAATATAGTGTTGAATAGCACTCACCATGCATTTTATCGGGTGCAGTCTCAGCAGGGGCATATCCATTTCCCTTCTTGGTGTTGACATGAATGAGGACAGGCCCTGTGGCTGGCATGGACCTAACTTCATTCAACACATATACATTATGACCATCAACTGGACCAATGTAGTATAGTCCCAGTTCTTCAAATAGGCTAGCCTCAGAACCACCGGCCGCTCCTCTCACATATGAATTGAATTTGGCGGTGATTTCATGTTCTGCCCTCCGATATGCTTCGTAATGCCCCGTGAACATGTCAAAATAACTTAAATAAGCTAGTTTTATGCAGAGTTATCATAAGAATGTATGGGGTTCCAAAGGTTCAATTTTGATACATTTGCAGCCTCACGTAGATGGCGAAATTCCCTGCTCGAATGCAGCTTTTTTAGAGCTTTACTAAGAGCTCCAACAGGGGGAGCCGGACCATCGACCGTGGCAGTCGGCAACGAGACTTGTTTGTTATCATTCAGGATGATGATGAGATTTGAGTCAAGATAACCAGCGTTGTTCATTACTTCAAATGCCATTCCAGCAGTCGTTGCTCAATCGCCTATTACTGCAACTACATGATT